TATTAATAATATTATTATTATATTAACAATAAAGTTTAAATTGAAAAAATAAGTTTCTTTGATATATATGAAATATCAAGTAACACAACATTAATATTATAATTTCATTATCACTTATACAGAGTGTATCTGAAATAATATCCAGTAATCATATAATGCTATTCCTTAATAAAAAACTGAGACGAAAAGTCTTCTATCAATTTCCGCAATATTTTTTTTAGCTCAATGAGCAAAATGTCTAAAATCGACGTACAAAACAACTTTAACATATTTTTGAGAGTTTTTTAAGAAAAATCTTCAAAATATTTCACGGAAAGATATCTTAAAATTATCTTATACATCGATTTTATCAATTTATTCGGCAATATTTAGAAATTAATATCTCATTAACTATTGTGAAAATTGCAAAATGGATTCTTCGAGTTAGTTTTTTATTAGGAATAGTATTGTATGATTAATGGTTATTTCAGTTACTCTGTATAGTAATATAATTGTTGTGTAACATATATTACGCTTTTACTGTTGAGTATAAAATGATACATTAATGTTATATTACTGTCATATTTAGTATTTGCATGGATAACGGCTCTATTCCTTCTTTTACAGCACAAAGTTGCACAAAAGTTGCAGCAAAACTGTGAAAAATGATAATGAAATCGATTGATTTGATGCTTTCGATGTCGAATCGACATTGATTCGATGTCGATTTCATTATCATTTCTCATTGGGAGAATCAACGTGCATCATTGCATGTTGGAGCAATATTGCAGAGATTTTGCAGCGATTATATTGATGTATAAGTTTTTTCATTTTGAAATAAAATCATTTTAACGACCGTTCAAGTAGAAGATATTTGTACTTAAAGGAAACAGAATGCATAATTTATTTAAAAATTTTTATCAAGATATACCTATAACATTATAATTATGATTTGAGCTGTGACTCGTATAACTCAAATCATAATTCAAGCAACCGATAGTTCTTTTTTTACTCCTCGATTGAAATTATGAAGAATATTCTCGTCTATTTCGGTACTTCCTTTCCTTTCCTTTCTTACTTTGCCACTCTTCGAGCAGTTGAAAAGTGGAAGACACAAGACTTTATAGGATACGATTAAAATAATTTCCTTCTTGACGTCTTTCGAATGGAATGTGTGAAAGATCTAATTCTATCTACTCTTATGCATTCAAAATTGCTAATTTCGAAATTATTACGTCAATAATAATTAAGAACAAGAAAAAATAGACAAAATATTAATAATATTTATGTTACGCGAATCAATTTAAGAAAATTTTAAGTACAATCTCTCTAGAGATTCTAAAATAGGTAAAAAAATCATTTTTAAGTTGTGCAAGAAATCTATGTGTGAAGCACTCGATATAAAGAATGTAATTTTTCTAATCTTAATTACTACTATCGATTAAAGATTATTGCTATTATTAATTTTTTAATTTTTATTTTAGTTTTTTGCAACAGAACCTTAAAAAATAGCACATTTCAGAAAGTAAACAATAATTTAAATTAAAAATAATTTAAATTAAAACAAAAATCTTTCTTTAAAAGTTTTATTAAATATCCAATCCCAAAAGTAGAACACAAAATTATAGTAATATCAAAATAACATCGAATTGAAGCATTTTAGGAAAAATCATAATGATGCTATTCGATACACTTTTAACAATGATTTTGTAATAAATTCTTGATATAATAATGTCATTTGAATTAATTTTTTAATTAAAAAATCATATAAAAAATTCATCAAAAAATCGTCGTTAAAAGAGTGTAAAAGTAGGTATAATAATATCGTTATGATTTTTTTTTAATAATTTCTATTTGATATCATCTTGATCTTATGCTATTTTATCTGGAATTCAAATAAATATTACACGGTTATACATTTAAACTAAAAACTAAAAGAAATTATGAAAATAAGTAATAATGCATATATTGTGTTAGAGTATTATTAATCTATAAATCCTAGTATTTCACGTAATGTTAAAATGTAATTTGTAAATATTCTATATTTTTCGCTTCTGTATATTTTACTATGTAAATAATATTCAATGCGACACAATCGTCGGCGCTACAATACATACTTTGATACAATAACATGGAAAGGAATACGGAAGCAGGCGGAAGGAGAGAGAAAGAGAATAAAAGAGTAAGAGAGTAAAAT